TGTGCATGGTCATCATTCAAACATTGGATCCTTGACATTCCTTAGAGCTACCTGAAATTCTGCATTAGCTTCTCAATTTACCATTACACAGTTGGTTATATAGGGGATACACATGACATATAGACAGTCCCTCTTTGTATTATGTTCAAACTGGCTTTAATGAATAGTTGATAAATTTTGCATCAATCCAAGTGGGCCCAGTTATATTAGTTGTGTCTGTAATATGAATAGGAGATTAATGGGGAATTTCTCTTTCCTTGAGTACACTGGGATCTTTATTGACTTTTTTTTAAGATCTGATCTTTTTATTTTAGCCTCTTACCTCAGAAGCCAAGCATTTGCTTTATGTTCAAATATTTCCCTGCTTTCTTTTGCTTCCTTACATTCACCTTGCTGTCCTGTTGCTTTTTCCAGAATCTCAAGCCAAGTATGGTTATTTTAAAGTGCATGTTTGAACAGTCCAATCTCTGGATTCCTTTGGGCCTATTTCTACTTTTTTGTTTATAAGTGGTAGTTTTATAGCAAATGCCAAACATTTTGCATGAAGAAAATCATAAAAATTAGTTGAGGGTCTGGATGATGGTATCTTCAGAGAAGATGTACTTTTGTTTCTTGCACGCAATAAGCATAGGGCTAGGTCAGTTTAATGCTATTGGGGACTGAGTTGATGCAAAACAGGACTTCAGGGTTTCTTGAGAGCTGGTCTATTTCTTGTTTACCTTTATTCCTAGAGTTCATCTGTTTGAAGTCTCAACTAAAATCTCAGGGTATTTTCCAGTCTCCCCTTCTCCATGGCCAGCCTAAATACCATTCCTCAGTTCTCAGAGACTGTCCAAAGCTCTGGTCAAATCCTCTGCTTCTCAGCCAGCATTTTATTTAGCAAATCTTCAAAGGTAACAGCAGCACCAACCATTGAACCCACCACTTTGATCTTCTCTCTGGGATTGGTCCTGTTTTTTCTTCCTTAGTACATCTTTGATATCTTCAAACACATATATTTTATCTATTTAGTCCAGCTTTTCTACCTGTAAGCTGAAGAATTAGTCTGAAGTAAACCAGTCTACCAATGTAGGAATGGATTGCCATATTTTCAAAGTACTTTCTGAGACATGTTTCATGTCACTAATAACATAAAAATGTTATTTTCAAAAAACACTGTGGTTACCTACAAATATTAATATTACCTAAAATATTAATGAAAGTAAAAATCATCAAATCAATACCAATATAGTCATGCACTGCATAATGACATTTTGATCAATGACAGGCTGCATATATGATGGTGTCTCCATAAGATTATAATGGAGCTGCCCTATACAGATACAGCACTTTTTATCTTTTATACCATATTTTTACTGTACATTTTATATGCTTAGATATGTTTAGATACACAAATACTTAACATTGTGCTACAGTTACCTACAGCATTCAGTACAGGAACATGTTATACAGGTTTATAGCCTAAGAGCAACAGGCTATACCATAAGCCTAGGTGTGTAATAGGCACTACCATCTAGGTGTGTAAAAGTGCACTCTTGAGGTGCACAGAATGATGAAATCGCCTTGTAATGAATGCATTTCTCAGAACATATGCCCATCATTAAGGGATGCATAACTGTATATCTTTACATTGCATTTACCATCAGTACTATGGCAATTGTGAGTAGACAGAATGCTTGGACTAAATTATACAATAATCTTGAGACCCTACCTTTATTCCATGTAAGCTTGGCTCCTCGTAACAACCTTCTATATTACTGGGCTTTCTGAATTATTTCTTATAAAGTTTTTTCTCAATGTTAATATATATAAGTACTACTAACTATTTTTGTAGGATCCAGCAGGACATGTGAATGCTATGTGGGACAAGGGACAATTCATTGTGTGACTAGGCAATGCACTGCAGGATGTCTAGCCTCCCTGGCTTGCTGGCCAGGAGCAACACCCCAGTCATTTTTAATAAGCAAAAATGCTTCCAAAATACCCTCTAGGACTCTGTATCACTTTTTTTTTTTTTGGAAACCCTACATTAGACTTATAAAATCATCCCTGAAGACAGTGCTAGCCCAGGGTATGTGTGGAGCCCAGCATCATCATCCATAAGGGGCCAAAAGGTAGTATGGACCAGTCACATATATGTGCTCTTACCGCTCCGTTACCTGGACGACTAATCTAGTGAAAATACGTTAGTGTTAATATCAAGGACAAAGGTAAAGAAGCCAACACATACCTTGAGTTTTTTTTCTTGGGTTATTATCTTCAGCGATGATAACCTCTTGTATTGTCACCCACCAAGGCACAGGCACTGAACTGTTCTAATCCTGCCATCTTAATCCTCTCAACAACTCTATAAAGAAGAATTATTATCCCCAATTTATTTTTTTTCCGTCCTATTTTACAAGCCAAATTATTTCCACTTTAGAGATGAGGAAACTGGAACTTAGAAATGTATGTGACTGCCCAAGATTTTTAAAACTGTTAAGCACCTCTGTGGTTCCGCGGCACTCAAGGCCTCCAGATCTTGTAAAGCTCTCGTGCCCAGCTGTAGGTGTAGCAGGGGGTTGTGCAAACTGATTGGCACGGCTTGAGGAAAAGGAAAAATGGGTCTTAGAAGGGCTTCATATGGAAGTAGCTGTTAGCTCAACTCCGCCTACCACTCAGCAGCCAGCTCTAGGCGCTGTCCAGCAAGCCCACTCCCATAAGCCGGCACTGCAGCGGCTGCGCTTTCCTACTTCCCTCATCCTAGTAGCCCGCACTTCGGAGCACTCTGAACCCCACTGTCCCTCCCTCTACAGCAGCGCATCCCTCGCGACCCACTTTCCAAAGCTCTTTGCCACCCCCTCACCCTTTGCCCTCAGCCCACAGCCGAGCTCACTACCCCCCGGGCTCCCTCCGGCGTGGTGGCCCCGCCGGCGCGCCCTGCTCGCCGCGCAAGCGCACTTCGGGCCGCGCCTCGCCCAGAGCGCCGCGGCTGGGGCTGGGCCCAGAGCCTTCATTCCCTTGGCAACGCAGTACACAGGTGCTAGCCTCGGCCGCGCGATGTGCTTCCTCAAATTGGGTGAGGAGGGACGGGAAGGAGTCTGGAGTAGAGGGTCGGGGGGAGCGTTGAGGGGCTGGGAAAGATGATGCAGGAGGAAGTACAGTTCGCCCCTCTCCACAGAGCTCCTTCAGTCTGGGTTTTGCAAGCGCACGGTCTGGCCCTGTCGCCTGCTCCGCCGCCCCTACTAACCCTCTTCTCCCTCAGCGCGCCCACGTAGACCAAGACGATTTCCCTCACGTGGAGTTTCTCCTCTTTCTTGATCTTTAGGTGCGGGGGATAAGTACTCCTTCGGAACACTTCAACACAGGAAGCTCTTTCCTCACTACCATCCCCCAAACTTGTTTGGGAACAAGTTTCTCCCTCTCAGGGGATCGCCCCATAGAGGGCCTGGGTGTTACATACCAGAAGATGTGAGTATTCACCTCCCCTTAGGTAGGGCTCAGTTTTAAGGCTGTTGAAGGATAGCCAAGTTTTGTGGAAGAAAAACTATAGGGGATTTGTGATCTTCACAGTCCGAACAGGAGAAAGTGCCCTGGTCTCTTGCAACCGTGTTACTTATGGTCTTCGCCTGGAAGGAGTTAAGACAAGAAAGAGCAATCTCTCGCAGAGAAGGTTCAGATAGGAACACTCTAAGTTCACTACATTTTGATGGCCCTAATGTTCTCTGACTATGTGTTGTTGTTTTTTCTTTGTTTTTTATATACCACCCAAAGATGTATGGCTTGGCATACGGCTTATCTAGGATCCCGACTAGTATAAAAGGATATACTTTAGGAGCCAGAACAGCTGTGAGGTTTAAGCCAATCAACAAGGTAATGTGCTAGGATTTTAGTGTGGTCCGTGTTGCTGCATGTGTTTGCACTGGGGTTAAAAGGGCAGGGAATGGGGAGGTGAACTAAAAGAATATGCCCTGAAATTTAAGGAAAGTAGGCATTTAGGAGTGTCCCAAGGAGAGTGGAAAAAAATTCACTGAAGAAATAGTCCCAAGACAGGGCTTCAGTGCTGAGATGCATGAGGTTAAAATACTGGAAGCTGTGTTTATATACATTGTAGTATCTTGTCAGTTAAAAAAAACAAATTCCAACTTTTCCACCCTTTTGTGTGATTAGATTTCAAGTCTAAAGTCTTTAGTATAGGATCCTAATTTCTTTCTGGACGTTTTCCTGACATTTACGCTCAAGAAGTAGTGATACTGGCTCTCAAAATCTGAGCTGGGTGGTAAGAGTAGTGACTGGGACAAGCTCCCTTGGTTCTCTACCCATCCTGGGTTTATCTCTGCATCCTATTCATTATGTATCCTTAGGTAGCTGCACCACACCCATATCTTGATTTTCTACCGGCCCTCAGCCTATTTTTATAGCTTGAGGTGGCTGAACTTTAGTTGATTTATGAACAGGAAGAAGATGATTTTGTTTTTTCTACCAGCAAGGCTTTATGTGCGTATATATCACCCTCTAACGTATTGATCTTTTTATGGAAACAGGATGTGACACTTTACCCAGGCACGTACCAGAGAGTAAGTCCTCAGGAGGAAAAACACAAACAAAGTTTTGCTCCATTTAATGCCCTGGTGCCTCGATTTAGGAGCTACTCAAAAGACAATTATTGTCCCGGGTATGTTTCATCTTTTCCGGTGCACTTCAACAAAAAGCAACAGAAGGGGAAAAAGTACATAATAGGAAAAGAAGTACATAAAGAAGAGATTACATCTAAACTATCCCAGTTAAATAAGAAAACACTCACCTTTAAAAATTTAACCTATTGTCTCCCAGGTCTGTGGCATTGTAGAGTTGTATATCATAGTTATTCATTCAATAAATATTTATTAATGTGCCAGGTAGTTTTGTACTAGAGATTTTGCAGTAAACTCATCACACAAGGCTTCTGATTTCTTGGAGCACAGACATTCCTGAGCACAGACAGATGAGAAGCAAGTACACAAGAAAATATCAGTAGTAATAAGGAGAGTGATCATATAATTTATTATTCAAACTGTGCCACTTCTGAGAGTGAAACGGGGGCCTGTTAATAATTATAGCAGGACAGTAGCCATAGGCTAAACTATCACAGGCAAACCAGGAAGTATGTTGACTTGGTGATATGCTACAAAGAAAATAAAACAAGATGACGACATGATAGGGAGTGATGGGCTGGGCTGCTTTAGCAAGGGTTGAGGAAATGGCATTCGATCTGAGATCCAAATGACAAGACTGAGCCAGCCCTGTGAAGATCTGGGAACAGAGAAGTCCAGGCAAAAGGAACAGCAAGTGCAAAGACTGCAAATTGGGAAGGAATTTGGTATGAGGAAAAAAGAAGTTTAGCATGGCTAGAGTGTAGTGAACAAGGGGGGAATGAGAACAAAAAGGAGGGTGGGCTGAAGTATGCAGGCCTTGCAGGTTAGGGGGCTTATTCTCAGTGTTTCAGGAAGCTGTTCAGAGTGTATGGAATTGTAGGGCAAAGGGTCAAGGCCTTTCTTTTACTGATGAGAAATCCAAGGATCAGAGAGTGAATGTAACTTTCTCGAGCTTGCGTTAAGGAAGTGGAAGCGTCGAGTCTTGCCCCCAAGTCCACTCTAAGTTACTTCCCCACAGTAAAGAGTCTGTACGAAAAAACAGTGTTATGAGCAAACACGATTTTAAAATAATACCATTGTCAAGAAAATGTAACTGGTTCTCCTTTGCTGTGCCTACGTTGTAGGTAGATTATTGCTGCACTTTTATCACCAACTTCAAAGTGTGGGCAGTGCTAAGTCATCACTGTTGTAGCTTTCATCACCCGCCACTTTTGGGGTCTTCTGGTCTCTCAGCTGAGGATACTGATTTGCAGAAATATCTTTTAAACTAAAGTTGATCTTTACCCTAGCTGGATATCAAGACTGGCTATCTTTAACATTAACATCTAATTAGAAATACATTAACAGGCAAAGAAATCCCATGTTCCCCATGTTTGTCAGGCATTAAAAAGATAAGTCTGTTGCCTTTTTCGCAGGGGTTAGGCCTAGTTCAAGGATGGCTATGGTACTGAGGGAGTTCGTGAATGGTCACTAACTCATTAAACATGATGTTTGTATTTTTATTTCCAGCCCTGGCACATACAACCCAGAGATGAAGCCACATCCCAAAATTGCTTGGCCAATGAAATTTGGGTCTCCTGACTGGGCTCAAGTTCCATGTCTACAGAAAAGAACCTTTAAAACTGAGGTAATACAACTGGACTTGTGCAGAGAACTCTTATCTAGTACTTTCCACATATAGGAGGGGTTCTTAACCAGGAGGCTTGGAATGACTCTCAGGAAGTCCTTGGTCCTGAAATTATATGCACAATTTTGTGTGTGTCTGGATCTGAGGATCTTTTTGGAGAGCTATACAATTTCATTAGATTTTTATTTATTTTTTATTTTACTGATGCATGGTCTCACACTGTCACTCAGGCTAGAGTGCAGTGGCATCATCATAGCTTACTACAACCTCAAACTGCTGGGCTCAAGCGATCCGCCTGCCTCAGCCTCCTGAGTAGCTGTAATTACAGGCATGCACCACCGTGCCCCGCTAATTTTTTTAGTTTTTGTAGAGAGGAGGTCTCACTATGTTGCTCAGGCTGCTCTCAAACTCCTGGCCTCAAGCCATCCTCCCACCTTGGGCTCCTAAAGTGCTGGGATTACAGGCATGAGCCACCATGTCCAGCCTCATTAAATTTTTTAAGGCATATATAACTAAACAAAAGTCACATTTTCTTATTTGATCCTCAAATAATCTCTTGTGGTAGACACAGGAGAAATATCCCTATATGAGAGAGGAAGACACTGAGACCCAGATGGAGGAAGTGATTTGTGCAGGTTGCACAACTGGAATCTAGATATTGTGAGTCTAAGCCAGTGCTCTCTCCATCACACCACTTGAGTATTAGATCACCAGGGAGCTGTAGAGCATTCTGGTTAAGAGCGTGGATTCTGGGGACAAAACTGCCGAGGTTCAAATACTAGCTCCAGTATTTACTTGCTATGTGATCTTGGGCAAGTTCCTTAATTTTTCTGAGCCTTAGTTTTCTTAATCTGTGAAATGGGTAAAATGATGGAATCAATCTAATAAGGTTATAAACATTGATATAATGTGGACAATCATTTAATACAGCACCTGATAGCATAATAAATGCTCAAACCATGTTTGTTACCATAATTCCAGAGGTGCCTTTTATTTTCCCTGGTGGAACTTTGGATTAATTCCACAAATCTTTATCAAATGCCTAATGTATTAACATCATTGTGTTAGGGCCTATGGGTAACATTCAAGAATTAAACATATAATCCTTGTCTTTAAGAAGGCTACCAACTACTTGGAAATTTGCCAAGTAGCAAGTTATTCTTAGCATGATATATACTATAGTAGGATGATAAAGGGTAGATGGACATACAAATGTTGAGAGAATCACTAAGGCTCGATTACTGTGGGGTTGGGGTTCAGCTGAGCCACATATCTATAGTGTACATTTCTCTTTTGCACAGCCAGGAAGACCAGAGGCAGAGGGTTCTCATTAGACTATTGAGCTAGATAATATTCTTTCATTGCAGCTGTCCACAGACAAAGACTTTAGAAAGCATCGGAACCGTGTGGCCTACCTAAGCCTGTATTACAACTGAGCAGCAGTGACTACCTTCACGTGCTCCTCCTGAAAACAGAGTCTCCAGGATTAAGGACAGAGCTGCTCTTCTCCTTCTGTATTGCTGTGCCCTCCTGTCTGCCAGCATGGGGCCCAGGGTGGGGCCAGGGCTCATAACTGCTGTATGAAAGCATAAAGAGTAGTACAGAGTACTAGCTCCATCTGCTGGTTTGTGGTGTATACATACGGAGCTGGGTGGGAAGGTTCCTGTTGGGTGTTGAGTTGGTTTCATTATAGTGAAATACTCAGGGGCCCCTGCCCTCTAGTTCTAATTCCCAGGCACCAGTTTTTTATATTCTACCACTAACCCTGGTCCTAAGAGGCTATTGGCCTGTACACATCAAGGATATGGATGGCATCTGGGTTTATTAGATACAAAAGACACTTAAAGCAGACTAAAATATTTATGTATATGTTTTAGGAGTTCTTCCAAGTTTTTGAATTCTCCTGTGTGGAAGAGGAAGGTGTTGATTTGGTTGCCTTTCTCAGATTGACATAAAACTCAAAGAACCAAAAATTCCCCCTTTCCCATTACATTATCTGTTTGGTCTGTTAGTCATCATATATGCTGAGTTCCTACTATGTGTCAGGCAGAGTAGTAAGCAATGGGGATACAGCAGGAAATCAAAATAAACTCATCTACTAGCTCCCTGGGCCTGGCCTCAAGTCTGAGGGGAGGACTCCCAGGGCAGCTAATGGGTTGGGTCTACTCCCCAATCTGAATGACCTCTGAAGCTTTACAGGTTAGTCCAGAATTATAAAGGCTAGAACCCACAGCAACCACTTTCAAAATACTTATTCAGACACTCGGGCCTGAGAGGTAGGCCTCTTTCCTTCTGTTTTGCAAAAATCCCGGGACTGTATAGAAAAACTGCCCTCCACCCTGAGATGGAACTGAGAGATCAAAGAATGACTCAAACAAGTTCAGCTTGCAAGTTAGATGAGTTTATTAGAGCTTACTGACACTGGGTGCTCACTGCTTGCACAGGAGTTCTCCAGACACTCACTCCTGGGTGGCACAGGAGTTCTTCAGAGAGTAAAAATCACACTGCCTACCTGTGGTGTCACCTTAAATCTCTTCCCAGTGAGTGAGGTAAAACTCTTACATTGATACAATACAGCTATTACAGTGCTGTTGTTTATCATTTTGTTTAGATCAAGTAGGATTTGCTTTATGAATCTGGACGCACCTGTGTTGGATGTGAAAATATTTAGAATTGTTATGTCTTCTTGTTGAATTGTTCCCTTTACCATTATATAATGACCATATTGTCTTTCATTATTTTTGTTGATTTGAAGATTAAGTTATCTGCTATGTGAACTGCTACACCAGCTTTCTTTTGATTTCCATTTGCATGCAATATCATTTTCCATCCCTTCACCTTGAGTCTGAATGCATTCTTGTGGGTTAGATATGTTTCCTGAAGACAGCAGATACTTGGCTTGTGTGTATTTATCCATTCGGCCAACCTATGTCTCTTCAGTGGGCACTTTAAGCCATTCACGTTTATTGAAAAAACTGATAAGTGGGGTGAATTTCTGTTCATCCTGTTGAGTAGAACTTTGTTGCTTTGTTTTCTCTCTTGAGCCATTGTGGTATCTTGCCTTTGACCTTTAGCTTTTGGATGATTTTACACTGTTGAGTGTCTATTGTGCTGATCCATGTGTAATGCATTTCTGAGTACTTCTTGCAGGACAGGTCTTGTTTTAACAAATTCCCTCAGTGTTTGCTTGTCTGAGAAAGACTTTATTTCCCCTTCGTATATGAAGCTTAGGACACAAAATTCTAGGTTGGGCACTATTCTGTTTGAGAAGACTAAGAACGGGGCCCTAGTCCCTTCCAGTTTGTAAGGTCTCAGATAAGAAGTCTACAGTTAGTCTAATGGGTTTTCCTTTGCAAGTGACCTGCTGCTTTTGTCTTACAGCATGTAGGAGGACCTCTTTCATGTTTATTTTGGCCAGTCTGATGACCACGTATCGTGGTATCTACTTGTTTGCAATGAATCTCCCAGGAGTCCTTTGAGGTTCTTGTACTTGGATATCTAGATTTCCAGCAAGGCCTGGGAAATTTTCCTCCATTATTCTCTCAAATAGTTTGTCCAAAACCCTTGTGTATTTTCTTCTTCACCCTCAGGGATGTCCGTGATTCTTATGTGAGGCATCTTCATGTCATCCCATATTTCTTATAGGCTTTGCTCTTTTCGCTTATTTCTCTGCTCTATCTCTGTGACTGACTTGTTAAATTGGAAGATGCTGTCTTCAAGCTCTAAGATTCTTTCTTCTGCTTGATCTAACTTATTCTTAAGGTTTTCCAATGTGTTTTGTAATTCCTTGAATTAATTTTTCATTTCCAGAAGTGCTGTTGATTTTTCTTTAATATTTCCATTTCTTTAGTGAATTTTTCATTCATTTCCTGGATTTTTGTGTGTGTGTGTGGTTTCTTTGTGTTGAGTTTCCATTTTATCTTGCATTTCATTAAGTTTCCTTACAATCCATGTTCAAAATTCTTCATCTGTCATTTCAGTGTTCTGATTTTGGTTGGTATCCATTGCTAGAGAGCTGGTGTTCCCCTTTGGGGGTGTCCTTTCAGTTTGATTCTTCATACTTTCAGAGTTCTTACGATGATTCCTTCCCATCTGGAGCAGCTGTTGCTTCTTACCTCTGGATTTTTCTTTAGATAATGACATGCCCTGTTTAGTCTCTGAGTCAGTAGTTGGTGCTTGTGGGTGAGATTTGACCATACCCTGTGTGATGAGTCAATAAATGCAGTAAAAGGGCATGCAAATTGACTTCCCTGTCAGTAGGTGGCGCTTACAGAGAGGAACAAGCTGCAATGTTGTGTTTGGGTCCTGTGACCAGCTCTAGTTCCTCAGAAGAAGCACTCTAATGCCCCAGGTGGTGGGTGGGGCCTTCAAACTTCCAGGTGTGTCCTTTTTCTCCGCCTCAGCAGGGCAGGTGGGAGAGTGAAGCTGGGCGGGTCTGGGTTGGGTGAGCCTGCCCTCAAGCTCCACAAATGCTTTTAGCAGGGGTCAAAGGTCTGTTCCCTGCCTCTGGACAAAGCTGCCAGGGAGGGGCTGAAATGGCCCCACTCAACTGAAACTTCTGCATGTGGAGGCGGGGCTGTCTGAGACCTGCAATCTGGAGCAGGCCTCACTCCTTTCCACCCTCCCCTATTATTGCAGTTTCTTCCAGGCCTCTGCTGGCAGGCAGGACCTCCAACCAGCTGAGCTCCCCCAACCAGCTGAGCTCCCCCATGACTGTGATGCTGACCAGGAGGTTTCCTGCCCAGGATCCCAGCCTGAGCTGGAATCATGGCCCTCCCATGGAGGAGGGGTGCCCTGGAGCCTGCCGCAGCTAGGACCCACTCTGCACTGTCACCCCTGATCTGCCCCTGCAGGCAACTGCACCTCAGGAGACTAATTCACAAATATCCCCTCTGTGCCCCTGGGCGATGCGATCCAGGCCTGGATCTCAATCTGGCCCGTACAGGATCTGGCCTGTTGGTCCATCCCCTGGGCCCCAGGGATGAAACCCTGACCATACCAGGGAAAAGGATACTGGTCTCAAGTGTCTCTCACAGGGGGCCCAATCTGATTCAGTGTGTCCCTCCACCTCAGGGTGTGTCCTGTTCTTCTGGAGTCACTGGGCAAGTGGCACCAGGGAGGGCCAGCAAGCAGGGAGCTCACAGCACAAGCACCCCTCAGTCTGCTGGAGGACCCCTAAAGGAAAGGTCTGAGCCCTGTTCCCTGTGGAAGCCTCCATGTGGTGGCTCAATTGTCTCTCTCATCAAAGAGTCTAGGTGTCGGGAAAGTCTACCCTCTGGTCGTCTCCAACCCTTTCTCTGGGAGGCAGTCCACCCAGACTGATGGGGCTCTGGAGTCACACAGATCACCCCAGGACCCACTGGATCCCTGTGGCTCCGCAGTCTGGGCCGGAGTTGGGAAATGTCTGTATGGGGATGAGTAAGATGGAACCTGTGTGGTTGAGGTCCCCTGGGGAGGGCAAAGGCGCCTGGTAGGTAGAGAGGCAATATGGGGCCTGCCGTCCAGCTCAAGTCTGTGGGGCGGGAGGCACCCTGGGGTGGGGTGAGAGCCTGGTGCCCTGTCCGCAAGAAACTCTCCACTCACTGGCAGCAGCTGTCTGGCTCGCTTTGACAGAAGTCTCTCCAGCATCTTGGGAGTCCACCTACAGCCCAAGATGTGAGGGAGGGGGATCTTAGCCAATCCACCTACCCTTCTTGCTGTCTCTGAGTCTCTCTGGGCTTAATCCCTGCTGAAGCCTTTCTCCTTCCAGTTCTGCTCTGCAACCTCTTCCCATGGAGTCTCCTGTAGGTTCAGGCACCCTTCCTTCAGACCCTCTTTCGATCTATATCTGTCTGTCTGTTTGGTTTTTTTCTTTCATCTAAAATTTCTCCTTCTTACTGAAACACTGTGGCTGGTGGTGTCCACCATCTTGACCCCCATCTACTCTGGAATGTTGATGTGGCAGAGGAGGGGTGTGTGCACTAGAAGCCTGTAATGCAGCTGTTCTGCTTTGTTCTGTTAGCCTGTAATTGACACTTCTCAAGCCTGTGCTGAATGCTGTTTGTGTTGGGTGTTGGGTTGTTCACCACACAGTTATAGGTTATTTGAGTTGGGAGCTGGGTGAGACCCTCTTCACTGAGGCTGGTGTTGTGGGTATTGCTCTACCCAGGGTTTCTCCACAGAGGTAACAGCAGCAACTGGATGCAGTTGTTGTGGGTTTCCAGACTGTGTGTGTTTGCTCAGACCAGTTTGCAGTGTACTCGAAGCTTGAGGCTGGGGGGTCTGTGGTGGGTTGTTGGACTTTAGAGCAGTTCTTCCAACTCTGCTGTGGTGGTGGAGGCTCTGGGTTGGGGTCTTGGGGTTCAGGTGCAGCACTGGAGACTTGAGGATGATGTCTCGGGCTTGGTGGGGGTTCTAGAGGCACAGAGGTGGAGCCTTGGGCTCTGGTGTGAGAGCC